TTGTTATTGCAACAAATCCAGCTGGTCAAGATTCAACAATATGTTCATTAAATGTTTTACCGGATAAAACAGTTGTTGATGAACGACCTTTTGTACCACAAGATAAATTTCGTAATTTGGAAGCTCCTGAAGGAAAAGGACCGCGACGAATAGAAATTATACCTGGTGTTGATGTTCAACCATTTGTTTCGCCAGAGAAATTTCATAAATTAGACCATGTTCCACCATCGGAAAGACCTGAAAGAGAATTAGCAGAACCAAAACGAGCACCGCGTGTTATTTCACCATTAACTAACTGTGAATTAGAAGAACTTATGCCTGTGTTACTTACGACTACGATTGATGCTGGTGTTCCAATGGCTTCAGTAAGAATTCTTTCTTTGTTTTCTCATGAATGATTAGCAATTCGATTTACTTCAATTTTACTAAAGTAAAAGTATAGGAAGATCAAATTCGACTTTCTTATCCGTGGGACACCATAGCATGACAAAAGCATTGGTACAGGTTTCACTGAGTTTATTCGGCTGTTTTTTCTTTCATAGAATCTGATGGCCTGAAAAAGTTTCAATGATTTCAGCTGTGGTTTTTTCCAAGCGTTTCGTGAAGGTTTTCTCCATGAATGTTGACGTCAAAAATGAGAAACTGAAATAAAATCTCTGCAGCTTAAGATTTACGATGAGTATGCAAAGAGATATGAGTGTTTGTTTTTCAACTATTCGAGTTAGAAATGGTTTAACGATCATACAAGTATCGATTTATCGCTTATTGCATATATTTCCACGATTTTCAATCAATGAAACGCGGCGTAAGATGTGTTAATTTTATCTAATCCGGTCAATGTCTCCTGCATTGAGAAACATTTATAATAAAGCCATTGTAGAAGAGTTGGAACAAGTTAAGTAGTTACCTCTTGGCCGTTGTTGGGTAAATAGCACGAGATGAATTTACTCGTATTATCCATAATTTATTTGTCTAAACAAACTTGGCTAAGCCGAACACTACTTCTCATAGAGAACTATCCATCGGATGGTCAGGATGGAGCATTTTTTTCTTTAATCAGAAAAGTAAAGATTTCATTTTTGAAAACTTTTCATTCATTTCAGTAGTTACATCATTTTTTTTCCATATTCTCTTTTGTGTTACATGTCAATAAAAACTAAATGTTTATTTTAAGTTCACATGGTATAAAAATAATCAACCACTTCTTGAAGGCAATCGATTTACTACAAAATATGATATTCTTACAAAAGTATTAACATTACAAGTACTTGCGGCACGACCTGATGATCAAGGAACTTATACAGTTCGTGCAACGAATCCATCTGGTACTGATGAAACA